CTCTCCCTCTCCCCCTCTCTCCTCTCTCCCAGGCATGTGTACAAGGGGTGCATTTGTGAAGGAAGGGGGTTTCTCTTTGAGGTCATTCGGTGTTTGGGGAGCTGTAAAAGCATTTGCTGTTGCTTCACCCGAAAAAGGCAGTGAAAGAGGGACCTTGTTGGGTATGAATGCCAGTGTTCCATTTCTAAAATGACACCTCCATGACTACACGAACAGGAAGGAGACGTTTGCTAGAACAGGGGGCCATTTTAAGGGGGTACACATGCCACTCTGCACCTATAAGCTCAAGTTCATGTCCTCGCACTGGGTCTAGGAAGACATCCTCACGCTAGGTTCCTTTATGGAACTTTGGCAAAGGATGGGGTTAGAGGAAGGGGTGCGGGGAGAGAGAGGCAAGAGAAGGGAGCTGAGTGTGACTGAATGGACTGTGTGGCGAGGTGAAAGGAGCAGGAGCGTGGAAGTCAGGTTTGGCATCACTGTGTCCATTCAGTTCCACCCTCGGTAGTCTCTGGGCTGGTCTCTAGGGAAATGGGTGACCTTGAACAAGTTCCTTAACCTTCGTGTATTCAGTTTCCCCATCTGAAAAATGTAGGGGTTCTTCTGTGTGTTGGGACACTAAGGTCCCGTGCAATACTGTCTATGATTCTATGGGTTTGAGGGTCTGCATACAAGGAAAGAAGATTACCCAGAAAATCTAGAGAAACGAAGCTTCGGGGCATTTTTCCTCAAAGTATCAAAGGCATTTTCAGGTCCCTGGCTGTCCTGTTGTTGTAATGCACGCTGAGAGATCTGTAGAAATGGGTGACAAGACAATCAGAAACCTAGCCTATAGTTATGGGAACCTGGAGCTCTGAGTTGCTTAGAGAGGTTGAGATCCTCAGAGCCTAAAGTCACATGCTTTTTAAAGGTAGCAGTTAAAGGAGATTTGGTTGTAAGCTATGAAGTTCTTTGAATTTGAGCATTTGGGAAATTATCTGGAATTAATTCTAACACACACACACACAATGAATGGCATCCCACTTTAAGGGTTGGGCACTCAGGATGGCAGGAAGAAGGTTTTAAGGAGACCTGAGAATATTGTTATCTGGGCAGAGGGTTTAGGGGGGAGAAGAGAATGGATATCCTTCCTGAGACAAGGGATCCTGGGCTCCTAGGAGGCAACTGGCATCTGTCCAGTGTCCTTGACACCTCTGCCACTTGTCTGAAGAAGGCACAGGTGCCACTTCCCCCTCAATACAAGCTCATTCTTAGAACTTAGGGATCTGCTTCCCAGGTGCTGAGATATGAATGTGCACATAGGAAAACTCAAGTCCTAGGGTGCTTCCTCCAAATTCCCACCATGTGAGCATCTGGTTGTGAAACTGGTTTACCTTTCCAGATTGACCCAAAGTCTGTGTTCCTAAAGGAACTCACTGTGCCACTTGGTGGCACCAAAAAGTTGCGCTGAGAACTCTGTTCTCTATAAATACAAACTACCACCCCTCCCTCCTCCGCACGCTCCCCTTCCCCCCTTCCCCCCTTTCTCAGTAGCAGGGAGATTGCTGCACAAGCCGCCCTCAGCTCTGCTGTTCTGCGAGCACTGAGAGCAGGAGATGAGCTTAAGATCATCTTGGGGGGTAGCCCAGGACTGGAGAGGCCGGCTCTGCCTAGCTGATCCACATAGCCCAACTTTAAGGGGGGCTAGCTAGACCGCGTCTCACTGCCTGCTGTGCGGCCAACAGGGGGGTAAGCTTGCTAAGCGTCTGTGTGCCTAAGTGTCCCTGGCTGGGAAGGATGTAGGAGCTATCAGCTTGCTGGGTAGCTCACAGTTTGGTTTGGGGAGGGGTGTAAGGGTGGAGCGGGGGTGGACAGAACCTCCAGATTGAAGTCTACTCCATTTGCTTGTGGCCTTAGTTAAACCTGTTGGGAGAAAAGACGAGAGCAATGAGTAAAGGAAGGAACGGCTGCCAAGGTTGAGAAAGGGGACTCTGCATGCCTTCAGATCCGAGTTCCCGCTCCCTAAAGCCAGGGTACATGTATTCAGAATGCAGACTGTGCTTCCCCAAAACACCCGAGGGCTCAGAATTCGGGGAAGCACAGGTAGAGAGGGAAAAGGAGAGTCGCTTCCCAATAGCTCGGTTTGCTTCCGCGAACCTGGCGCCTGCTGCAGGAAGAGGGGGACAGCGGGTGGTGCTGAAAGCACAGCTCTTTCAAACAGGCTAGCGTGCCTCTTTCTAAACCTCAGTCTGCGCCCTCCCGCTCTTTCTTCTCCTGTGGGTGTATCTTTCTCTTCTAATACAAAGCCTGCTAGTTTTCCCTGGGGCGGCATCATGAGCAGCATGGCGAGGAGGGAGCCCAGGAAACAGTGACTTGGGGAAAGAGCCCAGGGCAGGCCCGCGAGCTAGCCGGTGACCAGACCCTAACCTGCACTTGGGACCTCACTGAGACACTTGCAAAGTCTACCTGGAGGGTTCTTGGAACTGGTGCTGGAATTTCCCGCTGCCCCCATTTCCCTCCGGAGCAGGTGCTGTGGGGAAGGGAGATTGAGGAGAGGTTAAGGAGCACTTGTGCTTATTTAGGCACAATCTTGGTACCGCCTAAGCTGAACTATAAGCTTGAGCAGCCAGGCAGATAGACTCTCCAACACTTTACATCCCGCTAAGAAATTGACACAGGCCACTGGGAAGGCAGAGTCTTCCTTCCACCTTCTCCTTCATTGCCTACATGTGGTTTTATTGTTTGGAATCCCTAGAGGCTGAGCTAGAGCTAATCTGTATCCTTAATGGTGGCTGCTGGCCATTTGAGGCAGCCAAGGGAGTACGGCCTTGTACTCTGTGCAGCCCCTTCCCCCAGTGGGAATAAGTCGAGGTTCTCTGTGGAACCCTCTCAGGTATACACCATTCTAGACATCCTTTTGAGTATTGGAGTGTTCAGGCATGCCACCTCATGTTAGGCGTGCTGTGCGTTCCCCATTCCCCTCATGGAGCACAGGAAATTTTCTCCTCTAAATTCCTCTCTTATATCCGTGGAATTACACATTTAAGAATCAGTTGTGACTATTTATGTCCTCTGTGGATGTTGATTTCTGTTTTAAAGGATCTTTGGTTGGAGACTTGAAAATACTGCTTCCTGAGCGCATCAGGTTAATGCACGTCCTACAGTCTCCAGCCTTCTCCAGCGGAAACCTTTTCAGCACTCCGGACAGATCCTTCAAGGTTTCTTAGGAGAAGAATGTGGATAGAATACTTTCGCCATAACTGCTTTTTTTAAAGAGAAGAGTATTTCCTAGTCATTTACACTCTGCTTGACAAAATATATAATCTAGGTATTTTCCTTGCCCCGCCCCCAGATCTCTGCTATCACATGGTGATATTTGGGTTGTGGGCTATGCTCAAAGAGAAACGAAGTTCTTCAATGTTCATTTATTAAAGGGCATATTGAGGTTATTTGAAGAAGGAGGTGGTGGGATTTGACTAATCCTAGTACTTCCCCAGTTCTTCACTTTACTTCCATATGTAGACACAGGCCTCTATCATCACTTCAAGTACACATTATTGGCATGTTGACAAACATCAAGGTGAAAATGGAAAAAAAATTCACTTACAGGTACTATGTCCAACCAGCACAAAATATTCAGGCTTTGGGAATTTTTGAGTAACTGTATACATATTTCAGTTTTTACTCTGATTATTGGCGTTGTTATGTTTCCTGATTCGATGATGTGTTTCAAACATACTTTCATGACTAAAGGATTTTAATAATTCTAACTTTCTTATTTTTTTTCCCAAGACACATTGAAGATTTTGTAGGAGTCTTATTATATTGTCTTTTATGGAATTGTCAGAGCATTTTAGGTAGAAAAATTAAGTACCAATAAAGGGTAGGCAAAATTGCAGGTAAAAAATATGAGATGATATAAAGTGAATCATCAAAGATATTGTACTTTTTCTGTACACCATTTTCTCTCAGGCTTTCTATCTTTATTGGATGAAGAGACACATCTAACTATTCCTCCTTATACTTTTTGCTATGTTATTTTAGTAGATGTAAAGTTTATAGAGTATAAACTAACTTCTATTTTATGAATAGATATGTCTTGATGCATATTAATATATGCTAAAGCTAATCAGTTTGCTTGGAGTTTGGATGCACTGAAGGTGTATCACTACAAAGCAGGGACATTCTACTATTTAGAAATAGGTGCTATTTTTAATATTCAGATATTAATCCTAGTCCTGAGGCATAATATACATTAATTAGTGGATCTCAGTAGAGCATAAGGAGATAGGAGCATCAAAAGAATATTTTTTAGTTCATGATGTGCTTGCACAACCCAAGAAAACAATTTAAATATTGATTTTGAATTTTCAACTATTTGTAAATGAGACAAGGCCTTGATATTCCTTTATCTTAGTTGGTTAAAATGTAGTTCTAAAATACATTATGCTATAGGCTTTCTTTCATTTCCTTTGAATTCACAGAGAAGAGAAAAAAATCTAGGTTTTACTGGTTCTAATCTTGTTTTAATTATATGTACGTTTAGTCAGAAGGGGAACAAAGTAAAAGGCTTGGTGCAG